TCGCAGGAGAACCTGACGATAGTTCCGGGCCAATACCGGTTCTCCGATTTCCTCCCATTCTTGGGCTTCGGCAACGCCGGACATCGGGTCGCTTTGTCCGTCAGATCTCGGCGTATGAGTTCGGCCGCCGCCTCGTCCTTCTTGGTCTGTCCCGCGTAACCGCTGTCTCCCGTCACCACATAGTCGTAGACACACGCCTGGCAAACGGGTTCAACGCAACCATTATGATCAAGTGCTCGTCAATTGATCGATGTAACCATACGTACCGTACTATCACTGCACACTTTATCCACATCGGGGTGCTTTTCCAGGTCCTGTGCGGTGACGTCCCAAAGCGGTTCAAATTTAATATCATCGTAGTTGGAGTGGTCGACAGGATTGTGCCAAAACAATGATTGCCCTAAATTAGGAGTATTGGTCTCTTTGAGTCGGTACTGATTGGCGAAGTTGTCGTGCAGATCACGTGTGGTGAGGGACGGCCCCGCGCGGGGACCCGACCGACCATCCGGTAGCTCCAGATCATCATTTATGTCTCGCGACCATTTACCTATTGTACCACACCATTTGTCAGATAGATTTTAATTTCAATTAATACTGCTATATTCCTAATAAATTATTATAATATAATTTTTAATTATTGTTTAGGTAAAAGAAACTATGTCTGAGCCCATCATATTACATGATTTGCTAGTACTCTATGTTGGAGATAAACCAATTAGGTAAATTAAGTTATAAATAGAAAGTGTAGTTTTATTGTCACCACATTAATCCTATTATAGATATTATGGAATTTATGTTACTCTTGTTTTATAGAAATACTCTAAAGCTAGTATGGGTAACAATAAAAAAATGCATTGAAACCAGTCATTTTTTCCATTGAAATTTACACTCAGTGTAAATTTTACCCTTACTAGCTCTAAAGTATACTTAAATTATTAACAACTGATACAAAAACAAACAATAGAGATTAACTAAATCATTTAATTATTAATAATTTTTAAATATACCTGTATATACATGTATATAATATATATTATATATATATATATATATGTATATTTTTGTATGTTTTTAGAGCCTTGAGAAAAGTAATTGTGTAAAATTGCAACTTTACAGTAATGTACTGTATATTCTTTATACAATAAGATTTTGCAATAAAAATCATGAATTTGTGATTTTATTTATTTTTGACAACAAAAACAACATTTATCTAAAAATCACATTAAAAATGTCTGACTTAATGTTCTAACTATAATTTTATTAATTGATTTTTTAGAAATTTTAATAATAAATTACTTAAATAAATAAATTACAATTTAAACAAATTATTTGATTATAAAAATATTAAATAATTATAATATACAATATGTAAATCATTGTAGACAAATAATAACAAATTTAAGAGTGATCTAGGAAATACTGATTTTTAAATAAAGAAATACAATTATATAAATGGTTATATTACAGAAACAGATTCACTGGCCATGGTTATTTATTAGTAATGTGTTAGGTTATAGTGGGGAACATGCCGACGGGCCTTGCTCCAATGATTACGTTTGGTAATTTTACTTTAAATTACTTTTATTTATTCATATTAATAAATACAATATAAAAATTGAAAAGGTAACTTTTTGCACAGTTTCTAAGAGAGTGGGTTATATTGCTTATAATACTGGCTTCTATACCGTAAACCATGATAATAATTGTTTATATTTAAGGAATAATTCTTAGAATTGGCTAGAATTATTGAAAAGCATTTAGCAATACTTTTAACAATACAAATAATGGTACAAAGTACAATGTTTAGTATTTAGTTATATGAATAGAAAGCAAATGATTTAACTAAAATATTAATTAAAATTAAATATATATTACATTGTGCATTTCATTTAATTCTGGACTTCTAATATATTTACAGCAATAAGTCTCGAATTCACAATATAAGCGGATTTGAAACAATAAAATTTATTGCTTAAGTCTTTAATGAACATCACTAATGAATACCTAATATTAATTACAAATAAATTTCTCGTTTAGTCATTGCTTTGATTTATTGGAAAACAATATAAAAAGTGTTGCATTTTTTGCCATAAAAAGCATAGACTAAAAGTGAGAGTTAGAAGATATTAAAAACACTCGTCATTAATAAAATGGGATTTAATATGAAATGACGGTTAATAATATTCTTTTAATTAATTACTAAAATATAAGTTTGATTTTCATAAAATTCTTTTGAGTATACATTTAAACTAAATATATTAAATATATAAAACAATTTTTGTCAATCATATGTCTAAGCAAATGGTATATAAGAGTTATTAGATCTAATCGTGTCTGACACAGGTCAGATTGTTGTGTTAATGATGGTTAATGTTGTCATTTGTATGACCCATAGTATAACATACAAAATGCCGGCGCCGGCGATCGGTTGGACGAGAATCAAAACGTGGAGACCATTGCCTATAGGGATAAGACTAATGAAAAGAATCGCAGAAACAATGAAAAGTCTGCCGAAGGGATGGACAGGAAGTCGAAGAAGAAAAACAAGAAGTTAGAGATGGAGAACCTGAAGGCAGAGGTGGAAATGGATGACCACAGTATACCACTCAACCAACTCTGTAAACGCTTGCAGACAAACACCGATCTAGTTAGTATACATTTACATCAACTATCATATCATTTATTGCCATTACCATTATAGTATTATATTACCTTTACAACAATTATCATTTCCTATTAACGTATAAAATGTTTGTAACTTCAAAATACAATATTTTCTCAAAAAACAATGTAAAAGTACAGTAATACTATAACAGTAATTCATTAAGTATTACTGTTTATTACTGTTTAAAACTGTACAAAATATCAGATTTTGAAAAATGTTTACACACAATAAGCTCAATCTTTATTTATTGGATGACAAACAAAGATATTTTTAACCATAATGTTGTTTCATGACAATACAGGGTTTAACACCAGGTGTGGCCAAACAAGTGCTACAACGAGACGGTCCCAACTCAATCACACCCCCGAAGGTGACCCCAGAATGGGTGCGATTCGTGCAGAATATGTTCGGTTGGTTTAATGTACTTCTTTGGATTGGAGCGGCTCTATGTTTCATCGCATACACCATACAAATCACCACATTGGAGCCTGATGAAGTGCCACCCGACAATGTATGGTATACCTCAACTAATCATTATCGCAATCACCAATACTTTCATTCAAACAATGCAGATCTATTTGGGTGTGGCGTTGGCAACGGTGGTGTTTATATCGGGCTGTTTCTCGTACTGGCAGGAGGCCAAGAGTGCCAACATTATGGACTCGTTCAAAGATCTGATCCCCCGGTCGGCCACTGTTATCAGGTCGGGTTCTAAGATGATGTGTCCGGTGGAGGAGTTGGTTGTGGGCGATCTCGTGGAGCTCAAGGGCGGAGATCAGGTGCCCGCAGACGTGCGTATCATTAAATCGCAGGGACTCAAAGTGGACAACTCGTCGTTGACCGGCGAGTCTGAGCCCCTCTCCCGTACGCCCGACTGCACCAATCAGAACCCCTTAGAGACCAAGAATTTGGCCTTTTTCTCAACTAATTGTGTTGAAGGTATCATTTGTTTGATAAAAAATTATTATCGTGGTTTTGTTGTTGACATATTGCTCACAATTGATAGGTAGCGCCCGTGGGTTTGTCGTACGGACTGGCGATCGGACTATTATGGGTCGGATAGCGATTCTGGCGGCGGGTTTAGAGGCCAACGACACACCACTATCGCAAGATGTGTCCCGGTTTATGAGTATCATAACCACTGTATCCATTTTAGTTGCCGGTGCCTTCGCCGGTGAGCCACATCATACACTTTAACTAAACACAACCAGAATTAATAGTGCTCAATCCTTTTATAGTTACCTCGTACCTGTTGGGCTACACGTGGTTAAACAGTGTCATATTCTTCATAAGTCTGATCGTAGCTCAGGTGCCGGAAGGCCTGTTACCCACGATGACAGTGGTGTTGACTCTGACGGCCAAACGCATGGCATCCAAGAATTGTCTGGTGAAAAACTTGCAGGCCGTCGAGACATTGGGCTCCACGTCCACCATCTGTACCGACAAAACCGGAACATTGACTCAAAACAAGATGACTGTATCTCATCTGTGGTGCAATCATACCATTATTGATGCCGACAATCTCATCGGACACGAAGATGGTAACATTTCATTTCCACATACATTTGTCATAATTAACTCATTATTTAATTAAAGTGTAATATATAATTATAAATATCTAAAACTTAAATTCTAAGATTATAAATGTAAAATAGTAAATTTATGTCTAATTTACAGGCAATAAAGTGGACACAGACTGTCCGGCCTGGAAAGCGTTGGTCAAAGTGTGCTGTCTTTGTAGTCGAGCCGATTTTGTGGCCGGATCTGAACGCTTATCACCACTTAAAAG